TAATTTCTTTTATAGTCAAATAATATTGCTCCATTATATTGATCTCTTCTCCTTTAATTGTAATCGTTTGTTCTCTCTGGTTCCCTCTAGACAACTTTCAAGTTCCCTCTTATTATCTATTTTCCAGTCAACAAAATTTTCCCACGCGAGGATTTCTTACAATTAATTTCAAAACCTCATATATTCTTTCATAAATTTTTTAAACACCCCACAGGAAATATTCTTTCAAATCCATTTAGTCCCTTAACTGTCCAAAATCCACATTCTCATCTCCCTTTTGCTGTTTCCAAAAAGTAAATATTTTCTTTTTAATCCTTACACTTACATAAACTGTCTTTCATCCAGGGTTGAAGAAGATTCTCCCAGTGTAATAAAACTTGTCCTTCAGAAGGTTTTTAACTTCTAAGAAATCAGTAAAAAGCAGCTGTCTAAAGTAATTAAGAGAGGAAGTAGGTGAACCCAGTGTCTCTTCACTGGCTCTTCTTTTCACCACTGTCATCAGCTCCACAAAAGCAGAGCTGTCTTCAGTCTGCCATGCTGTCCTTGCAAGTCCTTCAGCCCATAAGTTTGGTTGCTCTTCTCTTTACTTTTTCCAGCATTATTTTTCAGATGTGTAACCCAGAAAGGGCAAAGGTATTCCCTGTGACTCTATGGAAGCAAAAATTGGAGAAGCAGGAGTATTGACACACTTGAAATTTGGTGTTGGAAAAAACTCCTGAGAATACCATGGACAGCAAAGAAAACAAACCAATGAATTATTGAACAAATCAACCCAGAATTCTCACTTGAGGCACAAATGATGAGGCTCAACTTATCCTACTTCGGACAGGTTATGCAAAGGCCTAGCATTACAGAGAATGGTCTAATGTTGGGAAAGGTGGAAGGAAAGAGAAGAAAAGGACAACCAGAAGCAAGATGGATAGACTCAGTAACAGTGATGATGGATGCTCCATTGGAAGTGAAGAACCAGAATAGGGATGAATTGTCATGGAGGAAATCTATTTATCTGATCACTAAGAGCAGACACTGACTTGATGGCACATAATTAATCAATTAATCAATCAACCCAGAAATATAGAAGGGTTTCAAAGTGAAATTTTGCTACAGGTAGTCCTCACTTAACAACATAATTGGGACTGGAATTTCTGTTGCTAAGCAATGTGGTTGTAAAGCTCAATGTGCAGTTCTGGCACTTCCAGTTATGTAAATCCCATGCTGTCATTAAGCACAACAACATGTGGTCACCATTTGTGACCTCCTGCTGGCTTCCCCACTGACTTCACTTATTGGAGGCTGGGAGTGAAGATCACAAATGGTGATCACATGACTGGAACACTGCGACATCATAATTGTGGGTTGGTTGCCTGGATCACAACCATGTGACCGTGGGAATAAGATAACCTCATTTTCTTTGTGACAGAAGAAGCTGATTATTGCTTCAGCAGTGAAGTTTACAGTGCTTTGTTTTTGCCTGTGACACTTTCTCCAGGTCAAGCATATTATAGGAAGCCTTTAACTTTCCAATTGTTTATTTGGGAAAAAGGCTTTAGCAGAAATAACATAGCATTTGCCATAAAATACTTTTGCTGAAAATGGAAAGGGGGATAAAAATCTGCTTATAGCTATTGTTTCTATTACTTCTTGAACATGTGTGTCTGTGTGTTGCAGCTAATATATAACTGGAGTATAGTCCACCAAAACTTTTTGTTCCAGTTCTTTTGTTGCCACAACTAAAAACATTCTAAAGGAAACAATGAAGGAAAAATGGCCTGTGTGGATAAGACTCAGGTTGCTGGTCATGCATTAAAGACTCTGTCGAACTGAAGTAGACTTCTAGTGACTTCAGGGCCATCCCGCTGTAGTTTTTTTGGCAATATAAGTAGTCCCCAGTTTAAGAATAAGTTCTGTTCCCAAGGTCTGTCCTTAAGACAAATTTGTATGTAAGACGGAACAGTATTCTTGTATAATACTGCATAAGTAGTATTGTGTAATTAACTTGAACCATTGTGTATTTAACTCGAATCATTGTGCATTTACCTTGAATTTTGCTACAACAGGCTCCGTTCTTAACTATGGGTCGTCTGTAACCTGGGCGTTCTTAACCCGGGAACTACCTGTACAGAAAAGGTTTGCCATTGCCATCTTCTGAAAAAAAATTTTTTTAAACTTCCCAATGTAGCTTACAGGCTGGCTTCCTAATTTTCTCCCATCCAGGTCTAACCCCACTTCACTTTTTGAGATTAGTCAAAGTCAGCTGAGTGTTGCCACCTAGCTGAGCAGCCCTGTACTGGCTACACTTAAATAATTTAAGAAAGGAATGGATTGACCTACTATGGGAAAAGCAGAATGAGAAATTTACAAAAAAAATCTGAAAAACACACGGTATAAAAGTAGAAGCAAAATTAATTACTGCTTATTGTTATTTATTAACAATACTAAGCAGTAGGAATATAACGAAAGATCATGGCTAGGATCAACAGAGAGGGAATGGAATAAGGAAATCTGACAATAGCAGGGACAATATTGGTTTCCTCTCAAGACAGAAGTAGAATATTAACTGTAAGAAACAAAATATGGCCCATCCCATAAAAGGCAAAGCTGTCATCGCTGCAGGAAGAGCAGAAAGCAGAAGCCACAACACAGCCTGCCTGCCAGCCTTACTAACACCCACATTCCAAAAGGGCTTTTCTCCCTTTTGGAAATCTTTTCAATACTATAATATGAAAAGTAAGACCAAAAAAATTATGAGCTACAGAGAACGCAGCTGCCAAGCAAACTGTTTCTTGTCAACATTTGTCAAACAAGTCAAGCTTGCACAAAAATACCCTTCCCCCAAACATCTGTGTAATCTACTATGGAGTTACAGGGTGAGCTTGCAATGGAAGAAATCTCTCTGAAGCAATTTTGCAAAAAGAGAGAGAGAGAGAAAGAGGGAGAGAGAGGGAGGGGG